AATCTAGCCTGGGCCCGCCAAACAACAATGATGGCTGCAACCAAAACATAGCTGGGCGTTGTGGTGGACACCTGTAGTCCCAGCTACTTGGGAGGTAGAGGCATGAGAATTGCTTGAGCCCAGGAGTTGGAGGTTGCTGTGAGCTGTGATGCCACAGTACTCTACCCAGGGCAACAGCTTGAGGCTCTGTCTCAAAAAAAAAAAAATCCTAGCCAATAGATTATAGCTACACATTCAAAAAATCATTCATCGCAATCAAGTTGGTTTTATCCCAGGGATGCAAGACTGGTTTAACATATGCAAGTCCATAAACGTAATTCGCCATATCAACAGAAGCAAAAGCAGAGACCATGTGATCTTCTCAATAGATGAAGAAAAAGCATTTGATAAAATTCAGCATCCTTTTCTAATTAGAACACTTAAGAATTTAGGCATAGGCTTGGTGCCTGTAGCACAGTGGTTATGGCACTGGCCACATACACTGGGGCTGGCAAGTTCAAACCTAGCCCACACCAGCTAAATAACAATGACAACAGCAACCAAATAATAGCTGGGCATTGTAGCGGTCTCCTGTAGTCCCAGCTACTTGGGAGGCTGAACAAGAGAATTGCTTAAGCCCAAAAGTTTGAGGTTGCTGTGAGCTGTGATGTCACAGCACTCTATTGAGGGTGACATAGTGATCCTTGTCTCAAAGAAAAAAGAAAAATTTAGGCATAGGTGGAACATTACTTAATCTGCTTGAAGCCATCTACAATAAACCCTCATCTAATATTATACTGAATAGAGTAAAACTGAAAGCTTTCCCACTTACAACTGGAATGAGACAAGGTTGTCCTCTATGGCCCCTACTATTCAACATAGTGTTAGAAGTTCTAGCCAATACAAGCAGGCAAAAGAAATAAAGGGCATCCAAATAGGGGCAGAGGACATTAAACTCTCACTCCTTGCCGATGATATGGTCTTATATTGAGAGAAAGACTCAACCATAAGACTCCTGGAAGTGGTCAGAAAATGCAGCAATGTCTCACGATATAAAATCAATGTTCACAAATCAGTAGCCTTTGTATACGCCAATAACAGCTAAGATGAGAAGCTAATCAAGGACACAATTCCCATCACAGTAGCTTCAAAAAAAATTAAATACCTAGGAATATGCATAACAACAGAGGTGAAGGACCTCTATAAAGAAAATTACCAAATTCTAAGAAAAGAAATAGCATAGACTATTAACAAATGAAAGAACATACCATGCTCATGGCTGGGAAGAACCAACATTGTGAAAATGTCTATACTACCCAAAGCAATCTACAGATTCAATGCAATCCCCATTAAAATACCATCATCATGCTTTCAAGATTTGGAGAAAATAATTTGTTTTGTATGGAACCAGAAGAAACCCCATATAACCAAGACAATACTTAGTAATAAAAACAAAGAAGAGGATATCACCCTACCAGACTTTCAGCTATACTACAAGGCCATAGTGATCACAACAGCATGGTATTGGCACAAAAATAGACACATTGATTGACATTTGGAATCTAATAGGAAACCATGAGATGAAACTGACATCTTAGAGCCACCTGATCTTTGATAAACCAAACAAGAACTTACACTGGGGGGAAAAAATTCCTATTCAATAAATGGTACTGGGAGAACTGGATAACCACATGTAAAAGACTGAAACTGGACCCGCACATCTCACCACTTACACAAATTGATTCAGGATTGATAAAAGATGTAAATCGAAGGCATGAAACAATAAAAATCCACAGAGTAAGTGTGGGGAAAACACTTGAAGATATCAGCCTGGGGGAAGATTTTATAAAGACTCCTGTGGCAATTGCCACAACAACAAAAATACACAAATGGAACTTAATTAAACTGAAAAGCTTCTGTACAGCTAAGGAAACAAGAACCAAAGCAAGCAGGCAACATTCAGAATGAGATAAGATATTTTCATATTATGAATCAAACCAAAACTTGATAACTAGGATCTATAGAGAACTCAAATTAATCAACCAAAAAAGACCCAACAATCCCATATATCACTGGGCAAGGGACATGAATAGAACCTTCTCTAAAGAAAACAGACAAATGGCTGACAAACATGAAAAATTGCTCATTGTCCCTAATTGTCAGAGAAATGCAAATCAAAACCTCCTTGAGATATCACCTAACCCCAGTAAGAATGGCCCACATCACAAAGCCTCAAAGCTGCAGATGCTGGCATGGATGTGGAGAGAAGGGAACACTTTTACACTGTTGGTGGGACTGCAAACTAACACAACCTTTTTGGAAGAAAGTATGGAGAATCCTCAAAGAACTCAAATTAGACCTTCCATTTGATCCTGATGTCCCATTATACATCTACCCAGAAGAGAAAAAAATCATTGTATCATAAGGATATTTGCACTAGACTGTTTATCACAGCTCTATTTACAATTGCCAAAAAGTAAAAACAGCCTAAATGCTCACCAACCCAGGAATGGATTAATAAGCTGTGGTATATGCATACCATGAAATACTATTCAGCCACTAAAAAAGATAGAGACTGTATATCTTTTGTATTAACCTGAATAGAGGTAGAACACATTCTTCTCAGCGAAACATCAGAAAAATGGGCTTGGCATCTGTGGCTCAAGTGGCTAAGGTGCCAGCCACATACACCTAACGTGGCAAGTTCAAATCCAGCCCGGGCCCACCAAAAAACAACAATGACGGCTGCAACCAAAAAATAGCCAAGAGTTGTGACAGGCGCCTGTGGTCCCAGCTACTTGGGAGGCTGAGGCAGGAGACTCGCTTGAGCCCAGGAGTTGGAGGTTGCTGTGAGCTGTGATGCCATGGCACTCTACCCAGGGGGACAGCTTGAGGCTCTGTCTCAAAAAAAAAAAAAGAAAAGAAAAATGGAGAAGCAAGAATCCAATGTACTCAATTCTAATATGAAGGCAGTAGATGAGCTAATACAAGGGGGTTGGGGGATGAGTAACTTGGGAGAGGGGAGGATGGAGAGGGATGGGGGATCATGGTGTATGGCACACCTCTTGGGGGCAGGACACGATTTTAAGAGGGACTCTATCTAACAAATACAATCAGTATAACCTAATTCTTTGTGCCTTCAATGAATCCCAAATAATAAAAAAATATATATATATATTTTTTTTTTTGCAGATTGCAGTTTGCAGTTTTTGTCCAGGGCTGGGTTTGAACCTGCCACCTCCAGCATATGAGGCTGGCACCCTACTCCTTTGAGCCACAGGCGCCGTTCAATAAAAATAAATTTTAAAAAAAGATAACAATAGAACAAATTATGTGGCTGGTGCCTGTAGTACAAGCTACTTAGGAGGCTGAGGCAGGAGGATCCCTTGAACCTTGGAGTTTGAGAGCTGAGTTGATGCGTTGGTGCCCTAACATTCTAGCTTGGGTGACAGATGGAGACTCTGTTTCAAAAAAAAAAAGAAGCTGGGTACAGTGGTTCACGCCTATACTCCTAGCACTCTGGGAGGCTGAGGTGGGTAGATTGCTTGAGCTCAGGAGTTAGAGACCAGCCTCAGCAAGAGAGACCCTGTCTCTACTAAAATAGAAAAAACTATTACTGTGGTAGGTCCCCGTAGTCCCAGCTACTTGGGAGGTTGAGGCAAGAGGATCGCTTCAGCTCAAGAGTTTGAGTTATGATACCACAGCACTCTACTGAGAGTGACAGAGTTAGACTCTAAGAAAAAAAAAAAAAAACATCCTGGAAGGGACTTTAGATAGCTAGACCAATCCTAATAAAATTCTTGGGAACTTGATTAAGAAATTCAGAGAAAATTAGGTAGTTAGTAGCAGAAGATAAGGCTGAAGGAATTTGCAGAATTCTGAATTAAAAGAAAATCAGTGTATATATACATATATATGTATATATGTCTATGTATACATACCATATATATACTATGTATTTATATGTAGTATACATTTATACATATATATACTATGTATATATAGTCACTGAATCTATTCATAGCAGCGAAATAAAAATAATAATAACAAGAGCAGTTAACATTGATTGAATACCCAGACGTATTAGGTACTGTTCTGAATGCCTGGACTGTATTACTCAAGTAACCTTGAGGAAGGTACTGTTTATTATTAAGCCCATTTTATAGATGGAGAGTTGCAGAATGATTAATTTGTCCAAATCCACATAGCTAATGAGTAGCAGGGTAGAATTTGAACCTTGGCGCTCCACATCCAGCTATCAGTCTGGTCACAGGTAAGGATCTGTGACTCCAGGCTGCTCCAGTTCTGAAGCCCAACCAGAACCAATTCCCATTCTGAAGCCCTGATCTAGCTAAAGATTCTTAGATTCTTGTACATTGTTTTTCACATTCCCTAACACTTATTTATCTTGTTAGTAATTTCCCTTTTTCATGAAATACCTTAAATTCTTACAACCAGAAGAAGAACACCCATCACCCGGGGGAAAAAACAATTCTAACTCCAAAAATATTTGCGTACAATATAGATTTTACTGAGTGTTTCACAAAGAAAGTTACAACAAATTCCCACAGCAAAATTCTTTTTTAAAAATCCCCTTTAATCAGCATTACCTTTTCCCTAAGCACTTGCTCACACAGATACTTCATCCCTTCTTTCTCTCCACCTCTCTCTCTGCCTCCCACCCTCTATAAATCACAGAGCAAAACTAAAGGCACTCAGAAAAATCCACAACAAAACAAAAACCCAGTGCATCTGATTATTTCTTAGACACACTTGTGTTCATCCAGCCATGGAGAAGCTGTTGCCCAGAATATTAAAGATTCCTGCAAAGTCGTCTGTGAGTGGAGGGAAACACTAGTGTCCCAGGCTAGTATTCTTTCAGCCACACCACGCAGCTTAATAAACACCCTATTAATAGACAATGCAGAAGAAAACTGCAATGTAAGGCAAACAGAAACTTTTCAGGAAACCAGGGTCCAGACTCATGAGTGACTTAATGAGCCCCAGGCGTGCACACTTACTCGGGCCCCCTTCTTATCCGTTCCATATCCCACAGAGACACAAATGTTGGCCTTCGGATGACATCCTTTTGCGTCTTGGATTCTATGTTTGTCTGAATCATCCCTTTAGACAGAAAAAAATAAAATCGAGAATTAGTCCTAATGAATCAAGAATTAATTCTAGAAAATGACTTCTTGTTATTTTCCAGAGGTTATTTACATAGCAAACATTCATGACTAAACTGTATGTGTATGAACAGAGAAAATCCTTTTGAGTAAAAATCACTCACGATAAAAAAAACTTGTATCTTTCACTGCCCTTGTCAGAAGACTCAGAAACAAAGAGGCAAATGGACATTGGGGAATTAATCTACTGTTTATATCAAAGTCAGAGATAAAGAGGAGAGCGAGGGCAGCCAGATCACCAGACACCATGCACGCAAGCTGCCCTAGACCAGACATCAGTGATTATGTGATGGAATTGGGTAGCTTCATTTTGAAGGATTTTTTTTCTACATCAAGTGTGAAGCATCATTTTCTTTTTTTTTTTTT